GCAAGTCGGCGGCTGGCTGGGCCGAGGTCTGACGAGAAGGCATGCGAGATCCAGGCGCGCTTGCAAGGAACTCGTTGGGCCGGATGTTACGACGAGCAGCTTCCTCATACACCTTGAAGTTGGCGGATTGGATGGGTCGGAAGCGCGTCAAACGAGACTCAGGGGAATGCACATGGTTGAACTGGGTGCGATGTTCGTCCGGTGCCTGTGGCGCTGGACGAGTTGGTATAGGCACACGCACTCCGTTGTTGTGTCGAGTTGCCATGGCTGCGATACGTCTCTGTTGCGCATTCAACTTCTTGAGCAACTCATCACCATCTATCGCAGATTGATTCAGGACCTCTCCATTCCGCCCCACAATATATGTCATAAGACCAGAACTATTGTGGATATTTGGCCAGCGAGCTAGAGCTTGCTGCGGAGTCATGACATCGCGACCATTGTATTGTTGGCCGGGTATCAAGGGTGGTATGGGAACCTGCTGCTGCGGAACTGGGTGTCCTCGGGCTTGATCTCGCTGGACGTGCTGGGACATGAGTGTCGACTGCGGGTGTAGTGTAGATGGAACGTGATCGCGCGATTGTAGGTGCGTCGAGGATCTCAAGCCGCCAACTGGAATTGCGGTCATTAGCAGTCATTCAAGATAAGGAGTTTTTGGAGGACACGTACTGTTCTCTTCGATATCCATATGATACTGGGGCGACCTCTCAAGGTCAGACTGCGACGCAAACGGAGGATACAAACGGCCAGCTTCCTGACTTGGTCCAGTGGCTGTAGTCGTCTCTTTCTTGGCAACAGCAGTTGCACGCTTGGCGACCGGCTTGGACTTTGGACTCGCACCCGGTGAGTCGGTGGCCTTACGCTTGCCTTTGTCGTCCTTGGCAACTGTGCCAGCGCGACTAGATCTAGGAGCTAATTTGTACGGCTGTGTGGGTGTATCTGTGAGTAACTCTGGGTTGCAGTCGGACACTTGTTCTTTGTGCTTGGTACATGCAAGTCCCTGCTGCAGGCAATGTTTACAGGCGTCGTCGGTATAATAGGCATCGCATGTAGACTCGTGGGCCTTGCAACACTCGTCGCAAATTTTCCAACATGAGTCTTTGATGTGTCGCTGATTCAAAATTAGCAGTGTTTATCTGAAGAATATGGACGAACGACGAACCTCTATAGAATACTTCTTGGACATCTGGGCATCGCACCGTGGACAGGCAAAGACGCTGTCACTCATGCTACCCCCGAGGCGACTCTTTGCACATTTGGATCTGGTATCCCTTGTATGGCGCTATAGTTAGGTCAGTACGTGAAGATGAAACGTGGGCTTCTGATACGTACTTTGAGCTTCGCTTCGCTGACATATGTCTTGCCACAATACTGGCATGCGTATGGCTTCTTGGTGTCGGAACTTTCGTCCGTAGACTCTTCGCCGTCATCGGTTTTGAGCGCTTCGACGCGTCCATCGTTAACTCGCATCGCGCTGCTCACCTCTAGGGAGGGAGTTTCGGGAAGTTCTGATAACGGCGAGCTGTCTGCCACTGGGGACGTGCTAGATGACTGAGTCTGCGCCGCACTATATATTGTAAGCCTTCATTTGAAAAGCGTCGTTCGTGACTACATACCCGAACCGATCTTGATCGCTGTCCTGACTCCGCTCCATATTGAACTGGTCTCAGGGCAGATTATGAGTCGAAAGAGTGAGAGAAATCGTTCAAGCCAGAGGAGACGATATGCTCTTTATAGCAGCAGAGATATGAAGGACGTGCAGAGAAAGTAGAAGATTCGAATCATCTGACCAAGGCGCGGTAGAGTGAAGAAGGTCAGCAGGCGCGTGTGATCGACGAAAGACTTCCGTTATGGGCACTGGTGAGCAGTGAGGGCTGATGAAAAGCCTTCAACAAGACCCTGAAAGAAATTTGCAAACGCTCACCACTCCTACCAACGTTGCCTGGAGCAGTTAAAGACCGTCCAGAACCGTCAGTGCGCTCAGTCAGTGAGAGCTTTCCTTGAAGCGATGACGCAACTTGTGGTCCGCGCGTCAAAATAGAGATAATGGGGTGTTCTGATCATAACCACCTTGTAGATTTTGTGACATATTCACGAGACAAAGACCGTACAGTCATGTTGCCGGTCGCTGTCTACTGACCTTAGTCAACAGGGATACCTGTCACGATCGATATGCGGACTGTGGAGATGCGTCGTGCATGCTAGATATCATCTGTATCGGTAGGAAGATGAAGCGCGTCTTGACAGGATTCTGACACTTGTGATATAAAACTGCTCAATCCCACTGGAACACCTGAGTATACACCGGGCTCCGAAAAGCACGAGCGAAGGTGGAATAGTCTAGCACAGGAAGGCCGGAATAGGTGACTAAGAGAACCAAAGATTTCTGGGGCTGCTGAAGATAGCCCTGAACATACTGTAGTTCATCGGCTTGGTCTTCTTGTTTGTGAAAATGATGAATGTGCTGAGATTACACCTGGGCAGCCAACATGAACGGCCATGGCGAAACAAAAGAGGAGAATTGAGATGGAGATTGACTATTGGATCAGCACAAGCGCGTCGATAGCTTTGTCCTGTAAGATGCGTCCATATCGTGTACGAATTGGTGGGGGTGAACTGAGGTGAAGAGGGCACATTTCCCGAGGTCTGGTTGACGCGAGAGATGACGCGCCATGGACCCACTCTTGGCAGCGTTCCTACGCCCACACGGAGCAGCCATGCTTGAGCTTCTAAGAACTCCACGAGAATGCTGTCGTGAACAGCGCAAGTGTTGTACGTTACAATTTTCTATATCACCACCTGAACATGCAGGCTATGGGATGTTTCTTGGCTCTGTTTGATCAGCCCGCTCTTGGCTGATCAGGCAGCTCATCATGCAGCAGCTACCGTACACGTGATTCATTTGTGGACACTCTTTCGCTACACTTATCTTGTTTGAAAGATCTATAGATCTTCTCCCTGGCTCGATCGCGATGGAGGCTTCAGGTAAATTGATGAACTTTCACGACTGGATAATCACCTGACTTACCTAGGTACATAGTATCTCAACGCCCCAAAAACCGCGAGATCCGCGTCTTGGATCTACTACCTGGCCTTCCCGACGAAACAATTGAGTGCCATATCCGAAACGTTAGTGTCGATGGAGATGCGCAATACGAAGCGCTATCATATGTTTGGGGTGATGCTGTCGAGAAAAGAAGTCTTCAAGTGTCAGGAAGCCCCATCAACATCTCGCCAAACCTCCACGACGCTCTTCGACGCTTACGCTATCCAAACCAAATTCGCACGCTATGGGTTGACCAAATATGCATCAACCAGTGGGATATGGAAGAGAAGGCCAGCCAAGTTGCCTTGATGCGAGAAATCTACAGTAAATGCGCACATTGCATTTTATGGCTGGGTGAGATCCAATATGCCGAACATGGCATAGATGGGGCGGACACACACGCAGTATTTGCGTTCTTCGAAGCCGTGGCCAACAGACCAGCAATTAGAAACGCATCAGCAGGAGAGGCCCACGACTTGTCTAGTAAAGGCGTTGACCCCGAGGATGGCCTCCCCACGCTCTTTCAAGAAGGTGCCGCAGGCGTGACGGCTCGGAAGGCCTTTGCAGCCTTTGCTATGTATGGGAATACCTGGTGGGAGCGCATCTGGACAATTCAAGAGTCAATACTGCCCCACTCGGCTGAGTTCAGATGGGGCCCACTCTCAGTGTCACGGCGCAACATACTCCTAGTGGTACAGCACCTGCGTGGCGACAATCTTCGCTCTTTCCCACCCAGGTTTCGATATCAGCGCATCATGCATACCCCACTTCTCCGTAGTCTTCTGTATCCTGTCAATGGGTTTCTACATTCGACTGATGGCGAGTCGGGGTTAGACTTGTTCATGCGCTGGCGCCATCGGAAAGCTACCGATCCACGCGATAAGATCTATGGGCTATTGGGCTTGCTTGATGCGCGTCAGATTACAGAGACTCTTCCACACGCTCAAGCGCGTAGTTACTCGATACCCGCATCTTTATTATTTGCAATGGTTACAAGCGATCTACTGCTATTTGGAGAAGGTCTTAGGCCTCTGATTGCGTCCAGCGAGATGCCGCATGTCACCCCCGGTCTACCGAGCTGGTCGATCGACTTCGCATGCTCCAACCGTGTAGGCAAGCGCCAGCTGAAGTGGTGGAATCACTCGCATCGATACAGGCAGTTCTCGGCAGGTGGTAGAATCGAGCGCGAACAAGAGCTCGAGAAGGGAGGCTCGGTACCGAAGGTATCAAGTGATTGGACTTGTTTATCCTTACCAGGTCTGCTGGTCGACCAAGTAGAGCAAGTCAACAGCGTATACGAAGTTTCTGATGAGGAGGACCTTGACTATCGGAAGATACGGGACATAATGTCGGACGCAAGACAACTAGTGAAAGGACGAGATAGCTATAAACGTGATCCGGCACAGTCGTGCGAAGCCCTGTGGCGGACCATGATCAGTGATCTCGTCATGGCTGAGTATCCTATCGAACGAGCGAAAGCAACACACGCTTCGGAATTTCTCGAGATCGAACGCGCACTCAACAATGAACAATTCTCGCAACAAGGCCACCAGTCCAGTTATTCTCCACACGGAATGAGCGGGCTATTTGAATCTCTCTGTGGTATGGTACCGAATCATGCTTTCTTCATTACAAAGAGAGGTTACCTCGGTATGGGCCCGCCTACTACCTCGCCGGGAGACCAGATCTGGGTCTTTTATAACGGCAACGTACCATTTGTCATGCGGAAAAGAAACACGGAAGAAGTCGAGAATGGATATCATGAGCTTCGTCTTGTTGGAGACGCGTATGTACACGGCATCATGGACGGCCAGGCTATCTCAGGCAAGCATGTCACTCAGACAGCTCACATTTACTAAAGTGGAAGGTCTTCGCTTCTGTAATCGCGTGGCATACCAAGTGGTTCGTCAATGGGAGTGGGGGATATCGTACCGCCGTAGGTCTTTGCAGATATTCAAGCAGACGCTTCACCAAGTTCATCGACAGGTACCCAAAGCACCCTTGCATCCCTCTGCAGGCCCTCCCCATCCAACTGCCTCTTCACAACCACGATGACCATGATGTCTCTCTTCTGCAACGGCTTGAGATCCCACCCCAGGACTTCCGGCCTCTGAACTTCATTTGCAAACGAAACGTTCCACTCCAACTTGTTGGCGTTTTCGTGAAATACCGCCTCCCCGTCTACGATGACCTCCAGTGACGTTGCTGGTGATGGATGGTCAGAGCCACCGTAGGCGACCATGGAGACTTGGATAGTGAGGCCCGAGATAGTGTTGGAGACAGCTGCAACGGACTCAATAAGAGGCTCGTTTTTGGGTGGCGAGGAGAATGCCTTTCGGATGATATCGGTGGGTAGGGCGGTAAGAGGAGGCGGTATACGTCTCTTGGTCGCCCGTTCAAATGCATATGCATACTCCAATAGCTTGGTATCTTCGTAAGCCTTCCCAGCGAATGTGATGTTCACAGGCATGTTTTTGTCGCTAATGACACCCATGGGTACACTCATAGTAGGTACACCGAGATGCCTGATCGCGCGATTACCGTTGGAGTATTTTACGCCATTCTGGAGACTATGTGTCGTGCTGTCAATGTCGAATTCAAGATCTGCGAGACCGACATCGCCTTGCGCAGGAAATGCAACGACATCCAGCCCATTTTTGTCCATCCAATCTTCTAGATCGCGTTTCCTTTGAGCTTCAAGAGCTTTGAGAGCTTGCTCCATACCCTGTATGTCATGGATACTCCCATCCTGGACCATCTTGGGCAGCCCGGGGTAATCAATCCAATTCCTCACTTCGAGAAAGCGATCCGGCTTGTAGCCTGGTGGCTTTGGGAATAGCATCGCAGGATCTTTGATGTCGGCTAAGCACTTGATGTTGGAATCATTGTTGTCTACGAGAAAAGCGTTCCACGCTTGGGCGGTAAGAACGCCTCGCTCGAGGAGGTTCCAGTTCGCGGGACGTCCATCGACGTTGTTCGCTTCACCCGAAACGGAGTCGTTTTCGTAATTTGTTATTAGAGGGAAATCGGTGTAGACGATCTCTGCCCCCATGGAATTAATGTCTTTCGCTGCCTGTTGCCATATTGCGACGACCTCTGGTGAGACGTAAGGATGCTTTGCGTACGGATCCGAATCTTTCTGGCCAATGTACATCTTCGGCACCCCAACCCTCTTCCCTCGCAGCGCTTCGCCGTTTCGCAGAGTAGTGTAATCGATTGAAGGAGGCTGAGGTATCTGCACATGCTTTTGTTCGCGTATGAAGTCCCCTGATGTGTCTTCATCTGGAGTAGCGATGACATTCAGTATTTCCAACATGTCGTCCACCGATCGCGCATACGGAGTTGGCACATCGCATGTGATGTACAAAGGCCATAATCCGCGACAGCATAAGAGTCCCTTCGATGGCGTATAGCATACGATGGCGTTGTTGGACGCTGGACTCCGTCCGCTGCTGACGGTCTCGCTACCCATGCCGAAAACTGCCATGCTGGACGTCACAGACGTTGCAGCACCATTTGAAGACCCAGATGAGAAGGCGCCAGTGAGGTACTTTGAGTTATACGGCGACTCTGCACGACCATACATGCCTCTCTGCATACCACCCGCAGCCATCGGTGGCATGTTAGTCTTTCCAATCAAGATCGCTCCCGCAGCTCGAAGCTTCTCAGCGATTGCAGAGTCGCCGCTTGACATGACACCTTTCAGAGCAGGTGAGCCATCTGTGACTGTCATGCCGGCAACTTTGTAGCTGTCTTTGATCGTATAAGGTATACCTTCCAAAGGTCGAGGCTTGAGACCTTGGGCACGCCGAGCATCGGAAGCTGCTGCATCTTGGAGGACCTTCTCGTTGAATACCGTAAAGGCATTCAGACCTTGGATAGTGTCGAACTTGGCAATGCGATTCAAACAGCTGATGACAAGATCCACGCTGGTAATCCGTTGTTCGTCGAGAGCTTCTAGATGATCACCGATACTAGCTTCGACAATGTTAAAGTCTTGAGGATTTAGACCAAGACTCTAGATCAGGAAATGAGTCAGTCAATGTCATGCCGTTGGTGGTCGCGAACATACACTATTGCCTGCCATGTTTCAGGAACAGCTTAGCTCAACGAAGGTGTTCCAAAAGGTAGTGAGTCCCAATTCTTGTGGGCGTGTGGTGACGCCAGCGTTGTCGATTGTATGTTCGTGGTCCCAGGCGGGAGCAGGATGGGCCGACGTAATCGTGTCTGGGAGATAGTCACTTCCCCACTTCTGGATAGTCGGGTGGGCTTTCCCTGTACGGCTAGCTCCATGTAGTGTAGAAGCAGGTGCGTTCCGTATCCATTCCGCATACGGCTTGTATCGCTCATAGAGATGCGTTTAGGGCAGGCGCAATCGCCGCGGCAGCACATGGTCACCATGACCGGACTGTGGAAAATGACATGGACAACGTAAGGGCTCATACTGCTCGAATACCTCAACTGTCAAAAAAGCTAAACGCTCGAATATATGTAAATTGTGCCGAAACCCAGTAAGCCCTCTTGCCATGGTAGCAAATCCCCTAGGCTGTACTTGCCCAGAGCGCCTTGAACCTCGTACTTCCAGCCACCAAACCACAGGCACCCATCCATCCCAGATTCCAGCCTGGCAAGCCTCCAGTCGTGCTGCTGAAGTGCAGCGCCATGGGCAACCACGCGCTTGCGATAACAAAATCGGTCCACCACCTGTTGTCAAACTTCTTGTCCTCTTCGTCCTGATATTCCGCAATCGCGCGGCCATCGGCAACCATCTGTTGCCTAGTCACCCTCCTACGGCCCTCGAGCTGCCACTCGCGCATCAAGCGGAGGAAGTCGCACGACACGCCGCCTAGCCAACAGCGGTAGGCATACAGGTATAAACGCGCAGTCGTCGAATCGCCGCGGTTGAGGGTGGAGATGAAGCGGGGCGAGATGACGCCCGAGTCGGCGAGGAGGGAGATGTTCTCTAGGGCTTGGTAGGAGAAGTAGCTGCTCGCCTGCAGCATGGCGATGCGGTGCAGCACGACATCTGTGCCGGCTTTGGGGCCTGAGGCTAGCGAGCGCAACCAGGCGTACAGCGGGAAGAGACCAAACAGCCTCAGCGTTGTGCGCGCTTTCGAGATGAGGACGGCGAGCGCAGCGATGGGCGGCACCGTGCCGTTGTTCAACAGGGTTGCGGCGGAGATCTTTGCATCGTCGCAAGCGGGGCGGATCAGCGTGAGGAGCCGTGTCGCGAAGCTGGAAATGGACGGCGATTTGGTCTGCACGTAGGCGAGGATATAGAGGGAGTAGTTGAATGTGGAGAGGAATGCGGAGAGGCCGCCTGGGGAAGCTAGGAGTCTGCCCTACATTAGCTCATGCCTCTGACCCTCACAACGACACACGCTCGACCTGACGTACTTGTTCAGCCTCAGAATCGTTTGGTCCACTTTCTTGACGCCTGCAAGCAAGTCGGTCCTGTCCAGGTCCCGCGGATCCGCCCTGGGTGCGGCATCCGCTATCTTATCCACCACCTCCTTGACGTCAGGGGTGTCAGTCACATTGGACGCTTCGGGCTGGGTGGGCTTCTCGGTTTCGTCAGACATGGCGAGATTGGTCCGTATATGTAATGATGAGCATGCAGGAGGTCAGGAAGTCTGGGTAGAATGAGGTAAAGGGTTATGCTTCTCCGCACGCAAGCCATGGGGAGCTCATTGCCGCTATCCCCGTGAGCCGAGGCACTGCCGCCAGCGGTGTGCCATCACTCTCAACACCATCGTGCATTTTAACTTGAACTTTGGTTTTTTTTTACGACACGAGCGCAACTTTATAAATATGGACGCGCTTTGAATCGCCTGATGAAGTTTGTATCCATGATATTATGAGCGGAAATCCCCGTCTCATGCGCTCCGCACTACATCAAACGCCTTCGACAAACCCCCGGGTTCCGCGCCGCTCCACATCCTCTGCATCAAGCCTCTTGATCACATCCTCAATCTCCTCCCAAGCCGCGCGCCCTCGTTCCCCGGATTCGCTCTTTATCGCATCCAGCGTTCGTCTTCGCCGCTCCTTGGGCTCGCTCCTGAGTTGAGTGAGGAACAGGCGTTTCGACTCTTCGAGCTGGGTGCGAGCTTTGTCTAGCACTTGGTCCGTCGTCTTGTTGTCTTGCTCAACGTCATTCAATCCACTCTCGAGGAATAGTAGACTGATTCGTGGACTGAGCGTTAGCTTGTTATTCCTCTCACTCTATGGGAAAATAGAGGACTCCCGTCAAAACATACCGCATCTGCGCCAGACTGTATAGCTTCTCTTCTATCTCAGCTCTGTCCCAGGTGCTCCTTGCCTGCCGCCATACCAGATGCCATTTCCCTGTTGCGACATTGCCAGGAAGCTTCCTTGCTATCTCCTTATCGAGATCGTCGAGCCGTTTGAAGAACTCAGTGCTGATAGCGTCTCTGCGTTCTATCGACCATGCAAAGTCTCGTAGTCGTGTCGCTTGCGCCTGCACTGCAGCCCAGTCGCTATCGCTTTTCACTCGATAGAGCGCAGCCACCTGGTAGAGAGTGCCAGCTATCAGAATGTACGCGAATGTTAAGATGGAAAGGACGTTGGCGGTAGAAGAGAGTGCGCTGTCGCGACAGTCGCACGTGCTGTAAAGTGGTGTCTCCATGGGGTTGATATGACACACGTCGATGTAGGTCTCACGAACGGCAGATTGGTGACTCGAGGAAGGCTGGGGAGCTTCCATTCCTTCGAGAAGTTCCCCGCCAGCTTACTTGCGATAGTAGACTGCATACTGACTTGCGCCGGTGTTGGTTCGGTTGCGGATAAGTGCCTGCAGCACGCATGTGCTCAGCCTTGTCGTCCAAGACTTGGGTAGGTGTATGGCTCTGTTCCCCAGTTCACCTGTCTACGCTTCCGAACGGCCCCAGTGTCTCGAATGATTTCAACATCACACGATGTAGTGAAAGACATCACCGGACATGGGAACGCTCAAAGCCATGCTTTTAGCACAGCTAACGTGTTGTGACAAAGACATACTTCAACAATGCCAGCGCAAACACTATGAAAACAAATCACCCACCCGTGGCCTGCCAGGGAAGATCTACATCTTACACGTCGAGATCATCCACCTGAAAAGCCATAATTCGAATCTGCACTAACTGCCGGCCATGGCCATTCCACAGATACAGGGCGCTAAAAGGGCGGGGGCCCCGCTGATAGATGGAGACCAGCACGCACCAGATACTACCAGTGCACCAGAGCAAGCAGTCAAACGAGCCAAAAAGCACCCGTTCGACACCCTCGCGCTCAGAAAGATGGGATACGACTTTAAAATACCAGCGATCATTGCCAGAATCCGTACTAATTCGGCTCAGCCCTTCGACGTGGGCATGGGGTTAGGGGTGATGCTGTACCACATCGTTCCGTTGATATCAACGCACTTGGAAAATCCTATGGAGTTCCACAACAAGGCGCCAACAGCCTTGCAATGGGCAACTGAGTTCGTCGAAGCGGTTGATCAGTATATCGCATACTTGCGTCTTACGGATGGTTGCTCGGAGAAATTTCCTAATGATGCAACCGTCGATCGCAAGAGTCGACGGCCACGGCGCAAATACATGGGGCGGTATACCCACCTCGTCGAGAATGCTTATAAGGATCATGTCCGCGAACAGCTCTGCGACGTATTCCAATCGTGGAGCAAGGAGCAAACGCAGCTCTTCAACAAGGGTATGGATAAAGCTCTCTCGGGAATACAGTGGGTCGTCTACCCGCGAGAAAACGTGGTTCTGGCTGCTGGCGACGACGAGTGGACGATTTGGCTTCGCGGAAGGTGCGAAGAGCTAGGCATGATTGAAGCAAGGGCGGAGAGGAAGGTGTTTGCGGATATTTAGGGACGGGTCTGCCTGAATGTGGTTTGAGTGTTTGTTGGTAGTAGTAGTAGACGCAAAGTATTGACCACGGACAGTCGAAGGAAACTAGCACAAGAAGAAATGTGAAAACAGAAGTTGCATTCTCGTGACCTCGGGACCGGTCTCAGGCATCTTGTGCTAAGTCGTTAGTTGGAGATCGTGCTGCGAACATGCGGTTGCTGGGCTGGGGCTGCATAAACAGCTGCAAATTGGTGGATTTGCAGGTGGAGTGGTGGAGTGACGAGGGTGACTAGGGACCGTTGGCGAGATTGGAGCGGGCATCGCGGGCCCACCGCCAAGGCGCCTGCATAGGCATGCTGGGGGCAACTGCGTCCCAGGACTCGAAACACGCGCTCGAAACCGTCGCATTGCCCTCGCACCCACCGCAGCGCCTCTTATAGCCCAACGCCCGAGGCCCGAGAGTCTGTCATTCCTACACTCGCCACCACCCCCGTCACTGCCACCCGCAACCATGGCCGGCCGATTTGTGCGAGCGTCCAAGTACCGTGAGTGTTGATGTCCAACGCCCGCCCAGCCCAACATGCTAACACCGCCTGCCAGGCCACGTCTTTGGCAAGGGCACCAAAAAGGTACGCTCCAATGCCATCCATGGATCTAGCACGCACGTGTACTGACCGTCTTGCAGGAGCAATGCTACGATAACCTCCGCATCTCCAAGAATGCGTGGGACACCAACCTGATCAAGGTCAGCTCTCCCGCACGCGACCCCGTCGTACTTGCGCTCACCCCCCTAGGCCAACCCCGAATACATCTCGGTCAACTGGGAAGCCAGCGGCGGTGGCGCCTTTGCCGTCATCCCCATCAATGAGCGCGGCCGGGCGCCCGACCAGCTCCCTCTCTTCCGCGGCCACACTGCCGCCGTCCTCGACACCGACTGGTATGGTCGCACATGGCGTGACAGGGCCGAGTACGACGCTAACCGCGCGCAGGTCTCCCTTCAACGACTCTCTCATTTCCTCGGCTTCTGACGACGGCAAAGTCGGCATCTGGAAGGTGCCCGAGAACTTCACCCTGCACACCGATGCCGAGGAGCCCGCTGATGTCGCGCCTGTCGCCAAGCTGAGCGGCCACATGAGGTACGCCGATGCGCTCGGTCGAGATTCGCATCTAACACTACCACAGGAAGGTCGGCCATGTCCTCTTCAACACCGCCGCCGAGAACGTCCTCGCCAGC